TTGTCCCTCTCCATCAAGCAACAAAAAAAGAGCTTGCCTTTACAGCAAGGTTTAACAATCCTCATACTGGAGGGAGCCGGGTAAAAGGAAACCAGTGGCAGACCAGACAGGCATCAGGTTGTCACAGAGACAGGATGAAGACTGACGGATGTCTCTACCGGGAAAGAGGAGGCCAGGTGATTGGAAACAGGCCAATGAGCTGAGATTATTTTTTTAGTTACTTTAATACCCCTTAATGAGATAACCTCTTTCTCTGAAGAACACGTAGGCTTTCAAACCTTTCATGTGCTCAGACAACAAAGGGGAGAAACCGACATTTAGGATTTTCATACCACCCAAGGTCAGCATTTGTTAACTCACACTATTCAGCATCTGAGGCTCCAGGGCTTAAAAAGCCAACCTCATTTTCTTGGGTGACAACTGCTTAACCTCAGCTCAGATGTTCTATGGAAAACAGAATCTCTATTCCCCTGCAGTGACCACCAGCCATTTCCATGCAGGATCAGGGCCTTTGAACTCACAGAAAGTTACAGTTTCCCCAACCAAAGTCAGGTCAGCGTGTGTGTGCGCGCGCTGGTGCTGGAAAATAGTCTGAGAATCAGCTTTTCTTCCTGTTGCAGGTCAATGATAGGCAGCAGCTGCATTAACCTGTGCTGAAATGGTCTGGGCTCATCAGCCAGGAGACTGCTAATCTTCTGAAATGCTGCTAGTGCTGTAGCACCCTTTCTGTTAGCTCTGAATATCAGTTATCCTGTCTAGGTTACAGGCAATAAGATGAACCTCAACATAAGCCTCCATAAGACACACTTGCACCTCTCAGCCTTTAAGTGCAGATATACATACAAGCTAGATGTGAGGCAGCTGCATCTTTGGATGACAATAGTACTATGAAAGCAGGGATCTTTTATTCCCCTTAAAGGAAATATGGTTTGCACTGATGTCTTCCCAGCAGTCCTTGGCAGTAGGATTTTAGAGAGGGCTCACGAGAGCAGTGCTTCCCTAGGACAGCATACGTTGGTTTAGAAGTTTTCAATGCAACATGTCCTATGCTAAAGCAAGACCCAGGAAAAAATGCAACCAGATGATAAAAAAAAAAAAAAGGAGGAAAAAAACCCTACAAAAGTCCCTTTTGTTCTCAGATCAAAAACAAGATTGTTCAAAACCTGTTGTACACATGCTGAGAGACTTACTGCAGAACAGCAGCTAAGTGGTAGTTAACATACTTAGCCCAGACAAAGGAGACCATTCCAAATCTTCTCTCTCTCTCTCTCTCTCTCACACACACACACAAATGAGGTTAAAGCTGTATCCTATCAGACCATGTCTGGATCAAGAATAGTTTTAGTTTCAGTCAGAAATTCCATCCCAGAAAAAAAACATGTCTTTCCTGATCAAAGATTTATCAGGCCTGGACAACCCTCTTCAAGGTGGTTGTTTTGACAAGCATTTGTTTTCAAACAAAAAAAAAAATTGCCAAAAAGATTCATCAATAGCATGACTCAGTCCCATCTACAGTGAAGAGGTGGGGGCCTGCCAAGACTCACCTATCCATCTCATCAGGGATGTCATGATTTGTAGATACTTTGTCTTCTGCACATTGAAGAAGGTGAAAGGACCCAGGAGAAGAGTGAATGCTGCCTGGAAGGACAACAAAAATATACATTAGGTTAAAAAACAGAAGGTCTGCTATTAAGACAAATTTATTGGTAAAGCTAAGCTTGCCTTGAAAGTTTACCTCCAGACACATCTGTTTGTCACTGAGCTTTCTTTGTTGCTTAATTTTACAGCTGGTTTGCCTGAGACACAAGGGGGTCAAGCAAGTTGCTTAGTATCAGAGAACATGCCTCAGGCGGAAGTAGAGAGCAGGATCCTCTTGGCTCTCAGCCGCTTGCTATCACTGCTACAGCACGCCTTTACTGACACATTTCAGTGTGAGCTCTCAACGCAGCTTTACAGAACGTTAAATATTAAACTGTGGCATCTTTGTCCAGGTACATGCTCAATTTAGGTCTGGATAGCAATAACTGTGACCAGTCTGCCTGCATTAACATTGATGGGCTGCTTTGAGGCATTCTAGGCTGAATGGCAATGGAGCCAGGTCTGCCCAGACCATTTTTCCATGCTTTAAGCTGCACATTTTATAGGAGAGCGTTTACAGCGTAACAGGTAAGCTGTTGACCCGAAAGCGTTTATAGAGTTTTGCAAAGTAAGGAAAAATCAAAGAGAGACTCTCTTAAGAACTCTATTCAGTATAGAAATGAAAGGTACTGTTAATGCCTCACTGCCCTGAGATGTGTATTTAGAAATTGAAGGGCTTTCGCAAACTAAACCGGTGAATGCTGTAGTACCAGTTGGTTGCATCTCGTTCAGCTACGTGACAGAATACACCCAGCAAAAGTGGAAGTTAAGACTGTGCAGTTTCCTATGTGAGTTCCCTCCAGCACTCTATCACAGTGCATGAGGCAAACGTGCTGACAGCCCATGCCAAAAGGAGCCATATCCTCTATCCAGCACCACTATCACTGGAAAATGGAGCACCATTCAAAAGCCCTAGCTAATCCAGGAGGAGAAGAGAAAGAACTTTACTCCATGAAGATGGTAGACCTTGACTGAGGTCTGAATGTGGACTGAGAGAAGCCAGTGGGACACTTTCAGCGTAGCTACCTGTATCGAGGAGACAGAACAAGCGTTACCAAAAAGAGCTCTCTACCTGTGACCCATGACAGCTGCTACTGTCATGGGCTAATGATACGCTAGCAGATCCAATCAGTAGGATAGCAGCATCCAGAAGGCCACAGCACACACTGTGCAGATTTGTTCAAGATCCCAGAGGGATTTTAAAGACAAACAGTAAAAATTAATATTTACACATTGCTCTTTTCCATGACTTCTTAAAGCAGTTCCCCCAAAAAAAGGTGTCACCAGAAGGGAAGAACGGAGACTCAAAAGGGCAGGCTGTGCAGCCTCAAGGTCTCTGTCGACCCCGACAGAGTCAGTGACAGCACAGAATCCAAGCTATTTTAAGATTAGTATAACCCCAAGAAACCTTTCTTTGAGACAGTTTCAGAACATCTGCAAGGCAAATTGGAAACGCCTCACGTCACAAGTATTCTCAGGCGACCAAAGTAAATCCAGGCAGGAGACCAGAGGAGAGAACCCTTAGTTCCACATGCCGCTTGGTCAAGACATTCTGACCTGGGGCTATCATTTACTTCAAACTTTGGTTTTTCTGCTTACAAAAGAAGGACAGAAAGCATACAGAGAATTCAAATTTGTGAAGCAGTTTAGGATCCTTGGAGGAAACTGAAATCACACAGAAAATACTATGTCACAGGCATAACTGACAAGACTAAGAGCTAAAACAGCCTTAACTATTAAGACACTTTCAATTTTAACACAGGCAAAACAACCAGTTACAACAAATCTTTTTATTCTTCTCCATTTCCTTTCTTGCCATCGGGTGCGTACTCCACTCTCCTCCCGCTCTCTCCTGCCCTCTGCAGGCTGCTGTTATGTCCTAGGATAGTGCACAAACCCCAAAGGACTAAAACTTTTCACTAAAAAGAGAGATGTAGGTCAAAGACCCAGAGCAAACCAAAGTAGACACCAACTCTATTACTGGACATCATACTTGAATTTGAGACTAATCTCTCTCAATTCTCCCAATCTCACACACATACTACTGAACACAGCCTCCCTTCAAATTGTGTACACTTATGTGTCAGAAAGCTGAAACAAGAGGGACAGATGGAGGAAGGCGATAATTAAGGAACAGGTGTCTCTTGCAAATCAGAACGTACCAGAACCAACTGGCGAAACAGCACCCCAGTCCAACGCAAGGACTGGTACAAGATCCCTGGCCACTGAAACAGCTGGGTCTGAAACCTAGATTTGTCTTAAGCGTCTAAGAAAGAACTGTGTTGAGGATTATTTGGGGCTCGATTGCTGAAAAGCATCAAAAGCATCTTCAGACGCTGGAAGAACCTGAATCCCTTAAGTGCTTCCCCACAACTACTACAGAAGCATTTCAATTTTACACTCCAGCTTCTGCTGTCATTCTTCAGTGCTCTCGGCATCTTAAACAACTAAACCCATTGATCAGCAGAGTGCATCTTTCAACCCTCCATCTCCTCTGCGGGGTTTTGTTTCTCAACTCATTTGGGGAGAAGGCGGGGAAGAGAGATACAAATCATTGTGCCTGAAGGGTTGGAGTCCCCTCCCATCCTTTATGGCAGCGTCTTTTATTCTCAGCAAGATCCTGGAACTGCTCCAAAGGAATCAAGCGTGAGATGAATTCAAGTGCAATATAAATATATTACCTTTTCCACTCAACTCACGTTAATGAACCAAGATGGGTTTCCAAGAATCAATACGAAAGATGCTAAGGCCTGAAATGAGATGAGGTTGCACCGCTTCGCAAAGATTTGTGCCAGCCACTTCTACAAAGGGAAGCCACAGTACACACTGAACTGCCTGAGAGGAGAAAGGCAGAGCAGAAGAGGACATTAAACAGCAAGATTAACATCACTTCAAAGTGAAATTGCGTACAGCTCTACAGGAGTCAGCACAGGACAGGAAAGAGGAGTCAGTTCCTCAGCAATAGTCAGGAATTGAGGGGCAAGGGCTCAGTCCCTTGATTAGAGCTGATCTTATGAAGTCTCAGAAGCACCCTGAGGCTAGGTAGCCTAATTAAAAATGCATCCAAAAAAGGATGAGAAAAGACCATGACTCTTAAAAGGAGGATATCTGCTTTCCCTTCCTCACTCTGTCAGGCACCTAAGCGCTCTTCCTACCCTGGACTTGGTTTCATAACTTCTCCCCAAGGAAAAAAATAAGCCCAAATAAGCACTGTGGACAAACATACACCCAAACTTTCTCCTGATGTTTTCTAAGCTCAGGTCTTCCCCAGAGGGATATAATTTACAAACTCTGCTTCACTACACAGGCAGTTCAAACAATCTGAAGCCTACATGAAAAACCGTACCAGTTTGCCTTGCCAAATGTCACATCACAGCTCTTACGCACCAAGAAAGCTCTCCTGAGCTTTCCAGTTCACCTCTTGATCTAGCTTAAAAATTTTCCTAGGAGTTTATCATTCGCTTCCTAAGCTTCAGCAAATTAACCCAAGGCAGAAAGAACATAATCTACTTTGATTAAAGATTGTTCCATTACTGAGGTGGTTTCCTGGTAGGAAAAAACAGGTGTACAAGGCTTTTTTTTTTTTTTTTTTTTAAATTTAAACACAGTAAAAGAATCCTCCCTTTGGCTAAGAAGGAGCATCAGCTCTACTGAATGCTGTTGCATTCACAATAGGATGGGAGAGAGAAACCTGTACTGCGTTTTAGCACAGGGCTGGCTGTTAAGAGATATTCCCTAATTTCCCTCCCAAACGCTTCCATTAAAAGAGAAAGGCCAGACATGTCCCAGGCCTGCTGCAGAGGGTACATGGAATCCACGTACAGCAACAAATAAATGCAACAGATACAAAAAAATTTACTTTTCCTTACAGCTTCCTTTTTCATGCTGAAAACAGCGTGAGGACCCAGACATCACTGTCAGGAAAAAGCAGCGGTTTTGTGGCTTTTACTGAGTTATGTTTCCAGTCAGAAAAAGTTAGAGGCTGACTAGCACAGAGAAAAGGATAGCAGCTTGTCACCCTGAATTACACTCTGCCTTACAGGCTGGGAGAAGCCAGCAGCAGCAGATTGCTCATCCTTGGCAGGGTCTTCAAATCCATTCCCCCATCAAGACAACCCAGAGCAGTGCAGCAGCCAGAAACGCGCTCAGGCTGGGGTGCTTGCCCCAGCCAGCGATTCAGCCGCCGCTGCTCTCCCTGCCTTCATACCTGCCAGCTCGCAGCATTTCAAAGTGAAATGCAGCCTGGTCAACTTAAGTCTTCTTGCCACAGGGAAACTAGCTGGGGCGTACCATTGCCAGAAATGTATCTCTGGAAGTATCTTTTATTAAAGCTCTTATGCTAAAACTTGGTTACATAACTTTGTTTATTGGCTTATCTTAAAAAAAAAAAAAACAAGACTAAGACCAAGTATTAATAGGACATCTGGCTGGTTTTATCAGCTTAGTTTCAGTTAAGAACACCACCAAGAGAGCTCTCAACAACTAAGTCATGGCCAGTTAAAGCCAAGAGTAATTCAGAGCATATAAACATACTTTATGCCAAAGTCAGAGGGTTGTATTGACTAAACAGGCTCTCTATTGACCTGAAGTGTACTTAAATCACTCTGAATCAGTACAGTTCAATAGCTTTCATCTGCTTCCCAGCATGAGGCTTTTACAGAAAACCAATACAGCTCAGGAAGTACAATTAGCATCCCAAACTTTGTTGATTCATGTGCTAGATGTAGCAACTACAGCATTACAGCTAGTGCCTGCATATATTTGCAAGAGAACCAACTGAAAATCAGCTTCATTCATAATTGTCACTAGAACTTGTTCATCTTCAGGCTCCGCAAATCCATCTGTAAAAATGACATCTGTATTTGGTGCTCACTGAGCAGTGAATTAAAAAGAGGAGCTACCGTTTCTTGTTGATTTAGAGCCTGGAAGCTCTCTCAGCCAGGTGGAGTAGAAATAGGGTATTTGCATGAGGAAAGTGAGACAATGAAGACTAATATTAT